CATTGCATAGTTCATGTTTGACATGGTATCTAGTGAGTACCACTGCTACATTTGTTTACCCTTTGTCCCACTCTTTCTGTGGCCCCCTTTGCCATCTCCAAAACATAAGTATACATACACAACAACAGGTACAAAAAACAGAACAGCAACAAAGGAGAAAAGAACAAATATAACAAAAATCCTCATCTCCATTTCATGGAATTCATTTTGATATCATTTTATATGATCATGTGTACATAGCTATTGAGCCTTTGTGATCCTCTCCTAAGAATATCTTCCTTTGGTCTCACTGTGTGAATGTCTAAAGTCCTGTATAATTTATCATGGGATGACGGGTTTTTTGTTTGTTTTTTGGTCGGTCGTGGGGCTTGAACTCTGGGCTTGGGCACTGTCTCTGCACTCTTCAGCTCAAGGCAAGTGCTCTCCCACTTGAGCCACAGCGCCACTTCCAGTTTTCAAGAGGTTTATTAGAGATAAGAATCTCATAAGACTTTCCTGCCTGGGCTGGCTTTGAACCGTGATCCTCAGACCTCAGCCTCCTGAGTAACTAGGATTATAGGCGTGAGCCACCAGCGCCCGGTGGGAAGACAGGTTTTAAAACAACCATGTGTATGTATTCACAACTGGCCTGTGCCTACTGTGTGAAAAGAAGTCCTTTTATTGTTTAATTTTATATATGTTCAGAATTTCCCATTAAAAGGAGTTAAGTAGCTGGGTGCCTTTCCCTCATGCCTGTAATCCTTACTACTCAGGAGGCTGACAGCTGAGGATCACAGCTCAAAGCCAGCCTAGACAACAAAGTCCCAGGCACTTACCTCCAATTAAACACCAAAAAAAGCAAGGAGCTGTGGATCAAGTTGGAGAGTACTAGCCTTGAACAAAAAAAGCTCAAGGACTGCATCCTGGCCCCAGGACTGACACACACACACACACACACACACACACACACACACACACACACACACACACACACACACACACACACACACACACACACACGGAGTGCATAATGGACCACTGACAGGTTTGTTGAGGGTGGGTTTGATCCGGTGAGGAATCTGGTGGCAGTGACAGCACAGTGGAGATGAGAGCCTGCTTGCTGGAGTGGGCTCAATAGACACTAGGAGAGAAGGTTCTGGAGTGAGGAATCGCAATCAACTCCTTTTAGGAGTTTTGGAGGAAATGGGAACAAACAAATCAGTGAGCAGCTACAGAGATCCAGAGTTCAAGGAGCCAAGGATGGCTGATTGGTTTATTGGTTTCAGATGGAATGCTACGACTATCTTCCCACGCACTCTCCTTCACACAGCGCACATGCCACCATCCACCTTTCCCCAGGATCTCTGTCCACACATCCCCTTTCCATTCATCCCCCCACTCCTCAAGGTCAAGAGCATTGTTCACCTCTTGCAGCATCCTATTGTGCCGGATGTTTCTGGGCACGCAGTTTCTCCTATACGCCAGACGTTCACAAGCAATTTTTTTCAGGAGAGCTTTGGTTGTGTCATTTGATCGGGGTCCCCGCAGCCCACATCTTCATGTGTTATCAGAGCACACTGTGTGTTTATACTGGAGATCAAAACCACACAATGTTCCCCTGACAGCTTCCAGAGGAGAGTAGAAGTTCTACAGAAACTGTGAAGTTTCTTATTCCTTTAGATCCTGGATGCGAGCATTCAATTGCAGAAACCAGAACACTATCTTTCACTTGCCTTTCCCACTTGAAAGCATTGATTCACAGGAAGACACCAGGAGTTGGAGTTTATTTTTAAACCTTGCCAAAAAGCCTCAGCAGTTTACCAAAGGATTTCTGTTTGAAAACATCAGAAAATAGGCAGGAATGGGTAAGGCTGAGACTTCTAGTTTAAGACACAGCAAGTTCAATGAGCCCACATTAGAATCTAAGGCATGGTTAAAAACACAACTTCCCTCACACCTCCTTCTGATCACATCACAGCAAGATCAGGGCACTTTCTTAAGATCCTTCCTGCTGAGAAGTTTCCCTCAGAAGCATTAGTGTGCAGTATAAAAGCCAAGAACAGGCAAGGTACTTCTGATCAGGATTACATACAAGGCGCATCAGAGTGAGCCATGAAAATTCTTTAAAAAGTGGTGAGAAAGTTGGAGTGACACACACAAAAGAGTAAGTTCATATATGGCTAAGCAGGGAGTAACAATGACACAAAGGAGTATTTGAATCTGGCTACAACTGGTACTATGTACCTACATTACCACAAGCCATGTACTATGGGTCACAGAGATGATCCAGTTCACCCTATTATCTTTTGAGATCCATAACCTGAGGAGAAGACCAAGACAGAACATCACTAATATGGCCTGTAGCAGAATGTCTATAGGAAGAGAGATCCTTGATTGCAGGATGAAGGGAAGCTGCTAGTAGAAGCAGCTGCAGCTCCATGGAGACCCATGCAGACTCCATGGGAAACACTGGGAGTCACACATTACAGGCTAGCCAAATACCAAACTAGAGCAACAGGATGGGACCACATCACCCAGGGCTCTATCATGTGCCAGCTCTTAACAGAGGGAATAACAGGAGCAGGTAGAAGTTTTGAAAGATCTCTGGCAGTTGTGACTGAAAGGAAAAGTAGACTGTATGTACCAAGTTCCAAGTTAGCAAGTGTGTGACTTTTTGTTGATCTGTTTTGTAACTAAAACTAATTTCTAGTTTTTTTGTTTTTGGCCAGTCGTGGGGCTTGAACTCTGGGCCTGGGCACTTGTCCCTCAGCTCTTTAGCTTAAAGCTAGCGCTTTACCACTTGAGCCATAGCACCACTTCTGGCTTTTTCTGCTTATGTGGTGCTGAGGAATCGAACCTAAGGCCTCATGCATGCAAGGCAAGCACTCTACCACTGAGCCAACTTCCCAGCCCTAATTTCTAGTTTTCTATATGATGTCTGTCCAGGCTTACCTCTGCTCCTCATATATCTGAGAGTTTCATTCTATGCGTGCATTTCCCAACATTTTTTACTTTGTATACTTTTTGTCACAATGGCATGATAGAATCAAACCTATTATCAACCCTTTGAGGAAATTTCCCATGGTCAACTCTGGTTATGAACATGACCTTGTTATGGAATCAAGAAGGATAATTCCTTTGAGGGTTTCATGTACCCCTGGCCAGTTCTAAGTCACAGACCAACTGCACTGGTGTGGCCATACACTCTGAGGGGTGATCCCCAACATGAAGGTTTCCCTGGTCTGGGGTGAAATGTTGAACCCTAAGACAAGAAGATGAATAACATAACATGTGCTCCATGTTAAGGCCTGTACTTGTAAAGTATGTTCTATTTCTTTTTTGAATGTTAAGACTCTTTACTGTATTAAATGATGGCCACATTATTATTTTTAAAATGCCTTTCCGCCAGGTGCTCGTGGCTCATGCCTGTAATCCTAGCTACTCACAATGCTGAGATCTGAGGATAGTAGTTCAAAGCCAACCTACACAGGAAAGTCCCTGAGACTTTTATCTCCACAAAAACTGGAAGTGGAGGGTGGCTCAAGTGGTAGAGCACTAGCCTTGAGCAAAAAGCTCAGGCATAGAATCCAGGCCTTGAGTTCAAGCCCCAGTATCCACACACACACACACACACACACACACACACACACACACACACACACACACACACACACACACACACACACACACACACACACACACACACACACACACACACACAGCCTTTCCAAGGAAAGAATGTTGGCAACCCAAACCCCATCCATGTAGTCCATGTGGTCCTTGCTTGGAATCCTGTGTTGCTCGGAACAAGTCACCCAGATATTGGTTGGTGGGGGAGTGGGGGGCAAGGGGGAGGAGGGAGAAATGACACATCCAAGTTAGCCAAGGCTGCTGATGACCTGCCAAAGTGTCAGACTTGACAGCTAACTATGCCAGTCAAGAAAATGCTGGCCCAGTGTGTGATTTAATCACTTACTGCTTCCTAATTACTGTTGGAATTTTGCATCTTAATGAGAAAAAACTTCCCTTCATGGTGGCTTAGTCACTCATATTTAGTTCAACAGTCAAATAAGGCCCTAAAAATGTACAGATTTCCCTTCTCTCATCTTAATCTTAAGTAGAGGGAGGTATGCAAAGCCTTTCACCGTCAGCCCCTAAGAAATCTATTAAATAGTTCGGAAGAGCAACCTTCTCCCAAAGCAGCAGCATTTAGGAGACCACCATGAGTTTCAGCTCACAACTCAGTATCTAAAAACTGTTCTGTAATGGCACTTACCTACACAAAACACCTGTATTTGGGACAGTCTTAGTTCTTGGCAAATATTCCATCATAGGAATACTGTTATTATGGTAATGGAGATTTACAAAGTATTATTGGTTTGTACCCGAGTCATGGCAAAAAAAGTAGAAATGTTGATCACCTGGCTATCATCAGTATTGCCATTCTATAGACAGAAAAACAGGGGACAAAGGGCTCTAATGAGAGAACACTGAACCAGAGCCCACATTTATTTCTGGCTCTATCTAGGCCAGGGAATTCTCTGTAACATCAGATTTTTCATTTGAGAGTATTTGGCTCTGTTGACTTTGGCCAGGAAATACTATATGCCTTGTTCCAAGATGGCAAATTCCATGTAAAAACTTACATAGCCAACAGAACATTTGGTAGGCCATTACTTCATCATTTCAGGATATTTGCTGCGAGAGAGAAGTCTAAAATAATTAAGTACATTAAAGCAGTTTAACAGAATATTCATATAGTAGACTGCTAAGATAGAGGAACAAAAATATGAACATCATAAAGTTAAGCCTAGACCTCGAAAATAAAGTTTAAACACCCTCCCCCCATGTCGATCAAATTTCTCAGGTTCTCTGGAAGATAAATAGGTTTCCAACTCTCTCTCTCTCATATGAAACAAAACCAGATGGACTACACTGGGTGTGGCTGAGTAGCAGGAGCTGATGCTAGCAACAGAAGGGACACAAAAGCCCTGCCAGTGAAACAAAGTAGACAACACTGATATTTTAAACCAGCAGTTTTATTACAATGCACACTGACACACAATTAGAAGGAATGTTCTGACATTTCTGAGCATTTCACAGAAAGCAAATGTAACTAACCATCCAGGCAGGAGTCATCCACACTCTTTCTAAACAAAAAGCAAAAGCTTTTTACATATAACTCAGGAGAGCAAAGTTTTCTTATTTTTATTAAAAAAAAAAAAAAAAAAGCTTTATAGTCTTAGAAACAGCCATCGTGTGGTGAGTGGAGGGAAGGGTTTTCTTTATGATGTCCAAGTCCTGCCTCTCTGCCTCCTCTGCCCCCTCCCCCAATCACCCGACTGTCCACACGACTTGCTACGATACTGCAGATGGCAATGTGTTGGGGGCTGAGATCTACTTCTAACACCACCGATTACATTTCACTGGAACAGAAAGAAAGGATAACTTAAGAACATTAAGTCCTGCTAAAATGAGAAAGGACAGGAGACAATACCTGGGTGTATTAAAACTGAGATGCTCTTTCCACATAACTCATTTCAAAGGTTACGATTACCATAAACATTCTAACTCTATTAAGAGATCACTGGCAGAGCTCCCTTGTGTATCTGCAAAAGGGCTCTGCCTTTGCTCAGGCTTGGAAGCAAGAATACACCAACAGAAGAGTAGCTGAGCTTGCATGGGGACTATTTGGAGTTGCATAGGCATTTTCATTTTTTAGATTCACTTTGTAAAAAGACAGATGGAACCTTGGGAATTTCCCCTTTCAACTGTTAGTGTGGCAGTCAGGTGTCTGACCTCTTTTAATTCCCAAATGTACAAAAGCACTCTAGGAAAAAAAACCATTAAAATAGCATTTTGGATAGATTCATTATACATTACATAACTTGGGACCAACAAACCAAAAAGAAAAAGAAAAAAAAGCCCAAGCACAATTCTAGTATTTCTTATAGAAAAGTACTGCAGGAGAAAACTTTGTTTAAAAACATTAAAACTCAGGTGCATATAAATACATTTTTGGTTTATCTGTGCTATGACATAGAAATCCTGTCAGGTTTTCAGTCTTCTAGGTAACTCATGTGGGTTTTCATGTCTGGCTGAAGCAGTAGAAGAATATACACTGTTGCATATACTTACAGATATATGCATATACATATATAAAATTCAGATCATGAAAATTTGTTTTAAATACATATACTTAAAACCTGTACCTCTAAAAATAAATACATTAGCCTTTAGTTAGCTAATTCTGTTCCTTCACAAACCAATCAGGACATAGTTTCTTAATAATGGCAGATGGCCAATTAGCTGCCCTTTATACCCATTATCTATCAGCGAACATGTTGAAATTCAGATGTATTACTGAAATAACATCCCTAAAATAGTATATAGATAGAATTCTGGCTTTGAAAGTAAATGTCTTGATTTCCTTGATGTTTTGCTCCTACAAATGTCTCTGCCTTTGCCTCTGCGTTTATCTGGCAGCGCAAGAGCATGTTCTAGTGACCACATTCTAGTCCTCTGACATTATCTTCGAATCAAAGGAGTCCCTAGCATTTCCTCTGCTGTTTTGTCCAATGAAACTAATGGGACATTGTTTGTATCTGGTATCTCTCTCACACACCACGGTGAGTTGTGTATTTTAATCTAATTACCATGTGCTGACACCAACGAGGTAAATCAGAGGTAACCCTAGCACTTGAAAGAAGGCAAGTCTACAGGAGAACACATGGTAACATGGTGATGTAGACTCAAGTTCCGTAATGTAACTCAAAACCTTCACCAAAGTGGACCCACTGGACATCTGATGCTACAGGCCAAACATTCGACACATAATGTACTTCTTAAAAGAAACTATGCAACTCACAAAAATGAAGCTTTACTCTCTTTTTACTTTTACATTTGAAAACAAATTCTTAAAATGATAAAAACCAGGCCAAGCACTGTGTTTAAATTCACACAATACTTTATAACCTTGTCACTGGTTTTGAATACAGGAATATCAGAAGTGTAAGAAAAATCATGATAACTGATAGCAGGAACTTCTAATACCATTGACAAAATTCTCAAATTTTGACAGTCTGCCAAATTTGAAATCCAACTTCTGAAAGTACAATGTTTTATGTGCTCACAGTTCCAGATTTTTAACTTTATAAATTAAAGGTAAAGGCTATCCATCTGTAAACAAGGCCTCTCTTTCATTGATTTCAATCTCATTTAAAACTTTGGATATTTCAAGCTTCAGATTCCACAAAGTAAGGCTGAGTTGATCAGATGTAACTAAGTGTTTAAGTCCATGATGTACTGTAGCACTGAGGGAACAAATGCAGCAAATGTACACAGGCTGGCCACAGCACCTTCCTTTAAAACAAAATTCAAACGTCTATCAGCATCAGGTCACACTTGTCTTTCAATTTCTCTGGCTGTAAAAAAAAAAGGGGGGGGGGGTGACAGCATTTCCTCACTTATCTTTCCTTGTGAGACTGAGTCAGAGGCAAGGCTTAGGTTGAGGGGCACGGCCTTTTGGGGGGCGGCGGTGGCATGAGCTCTGTGTCAGGGTCCAGGTGATGCTTTCGCTTCTGTCCTTGGGAAGCAGCGGCACATCTGTCAATAAACTCAAACAGCATCTCCTTGGTGACAGGGTTTGAAATGCTGTTGCACACAGCTGTGGACAAAGGAAGTACCACATGTGAGAGCTAATGAGGACATGTGACTCAGCACATGGTTCCTATGCTGGTGGCTAACTGTGCCACTACATGACAGGCTTCTTGTCAAACTGATCTCCTCCCTTCCCCAAGGCAAGTGCTTTTTTCGTGGCTACTCTGGACTGCAGAATTGTAAACCAGACCTTTAAATACTTGGGTAATAATGTGTCTCCAATACAGTTTTCTACTCCACAACTTTTTCTAGGATCTAGAAGAGTGCACTGGTCTACATTGGAGTCCATGTCCAACTACAACCTGCTCTCAGAACTGCAATGCCTGCCCAGCACTGGCCTTGCTCCTGCAGCAGGCGGTGTGTGCCACTTCACTTCTATGACTTACCTTTATAGTCAGACATACATACAATACAATTTCCTAAGAAGAAATAAAGCATTTCCTGAGCAATCAAAATTTAGGAGGTTGGAGGCATGGCTCAGGTGGTAGAGTGCCAGCCAATGAGCAAAAGTGTCAGATACCAAATTCAAGTCCCAGTCTTGGACAAAAAAAAGAAAAAGAAAAAGAAGAAAAAGAAAAAAAAATAGGAAATTTATAACAATCCTCCTCATTTATTCGATTTTGGGGAGAAACACACACACACACACACACACACACACACACACACACACACACACACACACACACACACACACACACACACACACAGGCTTTATCATTCCTACTTTTGAAATAAATTCATCTTGTCCAAGCACAGATGTTCCTCTCAATAAGAACCACTAAGTGTACAACAGTAAACTTTTAAGCTGAAAAACTTGAATCGGCCCTTTCTAAATTTTCTCACAAGCTTATTGTATCATCATCATTAACTGAAACACTAAAAATATGTAATTCTATTACTTTTGTGTGTGTGTGTGTGTGTGTGTGTGTGTGTGTGTGCGCGTGCGCACGCGCGGCGGTACTGGGGCTTGAACTCAAGATCTTGCACTCTTCCTTTATTGCTTAAGGCTGATGTTCTTCCACTTGAGTCACACCTCCACTTCACTTTCTCTCTTAATCTTCATTTTGTCTTTTACCTGTTTCCAGGTCCACTAAAAATGCATCCATTGGTACTCCCAGTAGTATAGCTTATAAACTTCAGTCAATTTGCATTGTTCATCATGAAAAAACTTAACTGCTCTGTATTCTCAAAGCATTCCACTTGTACCCAAAGATTACTCTGAAGGATAGCATAGCAATTTTTGTGTTTTTAAAATGGTTTTCATTTACTTTGTTCTCCATTGTTTGTAAGCTATTTTGGAAGCTGGAAATTACATTTTCCCTGCTAATTTTTTTTAAACCATCTGGCAAACAATGGTTTTTATGGTTTTGAATAGATCTGAAATGATCCTGGCTTCTGTTTTGTTGTTCAATAAATGCAACTTGTACATAGCCCAGCGCTCTGCTCTTTAACACTCTCTTTTATGTGCCTAGCACCCGCCTACCACCTTAAGAGGGGAGAATGTAAACTGGCTGGAGCCAAACAGGGTTCAGATCTGACAGGAAATCATTTCTATCAACAAGGGTGGGGTCCAAATCACTCTGTTCCATCAGGCAGAGCAGCACAGGCAGCACATTTGGGGTCCAGCACTGTAACTTCTGGTGTACAATGCCACAATCATTATTACATTGTCCTACTCACCCATGGCTGTGTTGTAGGCATTAGGAAAACTTTTGTCTGTTCTCTGTCTCATAAAGACCCAGCTGTTGTTCTCAAATTTGCATTCTATAATTTTGTTGTCATATTGTTTGAGCTCTTTTGTCACCTGTTTTAAAAGAGAATTGAGCAAAATATTTAAGTCATTTGAATGGTTTTTGCTTCCAGTATGTGACAGACACATTAGGAAATACCCAAGCTACCTAGGCGACTCTTCCTTCAGAGCTGTGTGTCATCCAGAACATGGGATCAAGCCTACAGACATGATATATACTCCCTTGCACATTTGTTTACCTGACATTTTGCAGTTGTGAAAATGGCTGTCAATATATAGCAATTAAAAGAAGCTAAGCAGAAAGCAGCCACTGCTGGGCCAAATGCAAATATGTTACCATGGAGACCAATGCCTCCAACAGTGCCTCTGTCTTTCTGGCTTTCAGCAACTGAGGATATTGCCCAGGTTTCAACTTTCAGAAGGTCTCACCATCCTAAACTCCTATGTCAAAACCTAAGCAATCCTCTTTCTTACACTCAGACAAAAAAAAAATGTACCTAAGGCTCAAATCCAAGCAACATGTCTCCTAAATATTTTGCTTTCAATCAGTGTAATTACCCAGGATTCTAATTTTACTCTACTTACCCTTTCTACCTCCCAAACTATGAATTTAGAGATGAGACAACTTTTGACTTCAGTTGGTAGGTTTCTTTGCCTTGGATGATTGAATATGGATTACAACTTTATCAAAGCTCCGAGTATCCATGGAAACCACAGAACCTTTTAAAAGATATTCTATTGGGCTATGAGGATGGTTTTCATAAAAAGGAACCCAAGCTTATCTTCGCAGTTTTCAAATCAAATGCCAGTCATGGTAATATTTTAATTCTGTCCTCGTCTTTCACAGCTAACAACTTTGCCTCACAATATATGGTAGATTGCAATCATTTAACTCCATTAGCATTATTTGAAACACTCATTTTCCTACCCACATATTCACTACCACCTAGGAATATGAAGAGATGTGCATTTTTAAAAGATGCTTTCAATTCAAGATTAGGCAGTACATAGCTTCATAAAAACTTTCAAACCGTATTCCTTTTTCTTTAACGAGTATGATATTCATCTTGATGATTTACATTTTTACCAAATCTACAGGTCCAATATCTCCAGTGGCCCTAGAATTGACCTCCCTGCTAACGTACAGCCCACTTAGCAAAGAATCATCAGTCTAGTCTCAACCATTCTGCCTTAAATACTTATCATAGGGACTTACTTTCTTTCTCTTCCAATTCCTTCTTTATATCCAAACAATGGGCAACTTATTCAATGAGGTAGACACTGTGGGAGTTATGCTATATGGAAAGTATTAACAGAAATACATTTGCAAATCTTTCAAAGTCTCCATTTCTTAATTTCTTTCTTTTTTTTTTTGTCAGTCGTGGGGCTTGAACTCTGGGCCTGGGTGCTGTCCCTCAGCTCTTCAGCTCAAAGCGAGCGCTCTACCACTTGAGCTACAGCGCCACTTCCGATTTTCTGGTGGTTTATTGGAGATAGGAGTTTCACGGTCTCTTCTGCCCGGGCTGGCTTTGAACCGCGATCCTCAGATCTCAGCCTCCTGAGTAGCTAGGATTACAGGCGTGAGCCACCAGCGCCTGGCCATTTCTTAATTTCTTAAATAGGCAATGGATGTCTCAATTTGCTGGGTCGGTAGAAGGATAATAAATCAAAGTTTCTGGCTCACAGTAACCAGTAAAATTGGTAAGTCAATATAAAACTAAGCAATGAAACATATCCTAAGCCAGGGTAAAAAGAATTTTATCATCTTAACCATTTTTAGCTGTATAGTTCAGCCCTGTTAGGCATATTTGCATTGTTGTACAACAGATCTCTAGATATTTTTTTCATCTTGTAACACCACAACTCTTTAGCCACTAAATACCAGCTGCCTCCTTGACCTAGGCCTTGGTAACCCACTTTTCTATTTTGTTTTAATGACTTTTGACTAAATTAGATACTTCAAAAATGAGAAGAATCATATAGTAGTTGTCCTTTTTGTGACCGGTCTACTTCACTCAATATAATGTTCTTGAGGTTCATTTATGCTGTAGTATGAGATAGGAGTTCCTTCTTTTATTGGTGCTAAACTCAGGGCCTGAGCATTGTCCCTGAGCTTTTTTGCTCAAGGCTAGCACTCTACCACTTGATCCACAGCTCTACTTCTGACTGTGTGTGTGTAACTGGAGGTAAGGATCTCACAGACTTTCCTACCCAGGCTGGCCTCAAACTGAGATCCTCAGATCTCAGCCTCCTGAGTAGCTAAGATTACAAGCATGAGCCATCAGAGCCTAGCTTTTTTTCCCTAAGATGTAGACATTTATTACCCATCCCAGGTATTACCATCTTATCAGATTTACAATACTTTTTTCCCCCCATTTTACAGGTTGCTTTTTAAAATTTTGTTGATTGTTTGATGAGAACTTATAAAGTCTGCTATAATCCTTTTGTTTATTTTTAATCTGTTGCCTATGATTTTGGTGTCATATCAAAGAAGTTGTTGTCAAATCTTATGTCCTTTAATTTCTCCCTTTGCTCACCTTTTCTTCCCAGTTCAAAAGCTCATGGTCTTAGGTTATTGTGTACAGATCTGCATTGTTAGGTTTCCATTTTTAAGGTAACTTTGAGTCAATTTATTATATGCTATAAGATTTAAGATCCAAACTTATTTTTTGCATGTGGATATCCAGGTTCCCAATAATCATTTATTGAAGAAACTATTCTTCCTTATTGTGTCATCCTGATAATCTGTGAAAAGAATCACTTGGCAGTATATGTGAAGACATCTTTCTGGATTTTCTACTCTCTTTCCTTGGTCTATCTGTCCTTTCTATGTTGTTTTAGAGACAAGCTTTTTTTTTTTTTGTAGCCCTGGATGACCTCAAATTCACCGTCCACCTACTTCAGTCTCCCAAAGTGTACCACCACTCTCAGCTGTCGAGTTTTTGTTTTCAGATAATCGTCAGTTTCTATAATCTATCTGGTCTGCCTCCACACCAGTAATTAAGTATGTTATCTAAGTTATTGCTCTTTTATAGTATGTTTTCAAATCAGGAGACCTCCAACCTTATTCTTTCTTAACTATTTTGGGTTCTGTGATTTTCCATATATATTCTAGAATTGTTTTTCTATTACTGAAAAAAAAAAAATCACATTGGGAGTTTAAGAGAGAGTCTTCTTGTACTAGAAAGGTGGCTCAGTGGTAGAGTGCTTGCCTTGCATGCACGAGGCCCTGGGTTCGATTCCTCAGCACCACATAAGCAAAATGAAAAGAAAAAAGCCAGAAGTGGCGCTGTGGTAGAGTGCTAGCCTTGAGCTGAAGAGCTGAGGAACAGCGCCCAGGCCCAGAGTTCAGGCCCCACGACCGGACCCCCCCCCCCCCAAAAAAGAGAGTCTTCTTATCAATAATCACACCAACTGTCCTATCTGTTTATATGACTGACTTCTATTTGAAGGAAACTTAACTCGATTTTTTTAAGTTTCAAGGTAAAACCACTAAAGGAATTATGCTGACATGAAAAGGTATACTTTGAGTACAGCTGTCAAGAAAATTTTATCATATGCATCTTACAAGAATATGCTTGCTTGCTAGTCAACAATGTTCAGTCTGTACTTTCACTGGATAGCAATTATAGTAAGTCTTTATCACATAGCTCATCATTCTTGGGTTCTCAGTTTCAGAATTGTTATACATGATGTGTTGCTCCATCTGAGTACAACAATTAAGTAGCATTATTAATGGTCTATTGTAGTGGTTTGGACAAGCAATAACACTGAGAAACTGTTCTGAACATATTCTTTACTTATCACACCAGTTATATTCCAAAGTATTCATTTGGTTAGCTGGCAAAATATATTTATCTGATAAAAAGAGCATATGTCCTATATGTGCACCAACTAAAAACAATTTTTACTAATGGACAGACTGAAAGAATATTTGGCATACAGTGGAGAAATGTAATTTCAATATCCATATTCTAGTTTGTTAATTTGACAATAATCATCCCAGCCTATTGCATATTATTATTTAGTAAAACTGAACACTATTTGGTCTTCTATAATCAACTGTTGAGTTAATGAGAGCTTCAGTGTAAAAAGAATAAGGTATTTACAAATCAGTACTTCACATCTGTACCCATAATTACATTGAATTAATGGAAGTTTTATAGCTTTTGAAATAAGCTAAACAACACTGTATTTTATATTGAAATACCCCACATGCAATATCAACATATTATTGTTTAAGTAGGCCAATGATCTGGGTGAGGAGACTGGCAGGGGAACTGGACCTAGCACATGCACCAAGCAGACAGGAGCATTTACTACTGTACTTCCACATCGAGGGACAGAAACACACCTTTGCCTACTCTGGCAGAGTAGGGGATGCTTTCTTTTCCTGTTTAACTTTCATTCTTTTTGCTTTTATGTATATTGTTTGTATGTATATATGTGTATGTATGCAAGTATGTGTGTGCATATGTATGTATATATGTATTGATTGGTTTTCTGAGACAGTCTCTCTTATGTAGCCTAGGCTGGCCTCAAATTCAAGTTCCTCTTGCATCCACCTCTCAAGTGCTGAGATTAACTTGTAATTTCTAAGTAATTTTAGATTAACAGAAAAATTATACAGTAGAACTGCTGTATTTCCTTTAGCCACTCTCTTCTAGTGCTTATATTTTATTTATTACATTTATCAATTCTAATAAATTGACACTGTACAAAACAACAGAAGTAAAGGCTTTATAGTTTCTCTACACTAAGACCCCCATCCAGAAAACCATATTGCATTTAACTAGCACATCACATTAATCTTTTCCAATCTATGATGGTTTCACAGATTTTCCTTGGTATTTTTGAAGCGAACAAGTTAGACAGTTATAGATTTGCTTTTATCTTCTCTGGGAGCATGTCTGGTCATGTTAACTCTGATTAATTGGTGAGGGTAGTGTTTGTCAGGTTTCTCTACTATAAATTTACTTGTGTTTTTACTTTTCATACTCTCTTGGTTATGAGTCTTAGTTATGAGTGTCCAGCCCCACTCATAGAACTCCATA